TAGCTGCCATGAGTAGTCTTGCAAGTACATATTCTGAACAGGGACAGTTGACTAAAGCAGAGGAGATGCAAACCAGGGTTCTTAGTCTATGTGAGGAGATCCTTGGACCAGATCACTCTAGCACTCTAGCTGCCATGAGCATTCTTGCAAGGATATATTATCAACAGGAAAAATTGAATCAGGCGGAGCAGATGCAGACCAAGATTAGCAATTCTTATAGACAAAGCCATGGACTTGATCACCCCAAAACTATAAATGCTATGCACGATCTTGCCACTACATATTACAATCAGGGTCAGTTGACTAAAGCAGAAGGACTTCAAAAATTAATTCTTAGTTTGTATAAGCAAAAATTTGGTTCAGATAACCCTAAAACTGCAGTTATCATGCAAAATCTTGTTAGCACACAATATGATCAGGGCCATTTGAATACAGCAGAAAAGCTCCAAATTCAGGCTCTCAGCATTTTTGAGCTAAGTCTTGGTTTGAAGGACCCCAAAACTCTCAATGCCACCCAAAAACTTGCTACTATATATTATCAACAGAATAAGTTGAATAAGGCAGAGGAGCTTCAAACTAAAGTTCTTGCTAACTATGAACAAAGTCTTGGGTTGAGACACTCTACAACTTTGAATGCGATGCAAAATCTTTCAAGCATATATTATGCACAGCACCAGTTGAGTAAAGCAGAGGAGATTCAAAACAAACTTCTTGGCCTATGTGAGCAAAGCTTAGGATTACATCACTCACAGACTCTACATTCTATGCAAACTCTGGCATTAATTTATGGGCAGCAAGGTAACTTGAAAGAGGCACAGCAGCTTCAAATAAAAGTCTCTAGCATCCGTATGAGTGCTTTGGTGTTAGAGTCTTCAGAAGAAGAGTAGTCTGGATCCATAGAACTGCCCTTATAACAAGCCACTATTGTCTTTTTTTGCTTCATGCAACACTCTGCATACAATTCCTTTTATAATATTTCACTTTACTTAATCTTAGACAGATAAGATCAGAGGTCCTATCTCTATCATGTTAGAATCCTGTAGATAGCATAAAATGTAAGATTGTAGTGCAGTTAGAACAGTAAGTAAGTAGATATTGAGACTTGGTTTGATATAATGAGGGTGATTAGTAAGATAGGTAGGTATACACATGTGCTGTAAGTCAGAGAGTCCATTTTGTAGTCACAAGATAAAGAAAATAAAGTGGCAGTCAGCCTGACAAAAAGAGTGTCTATAGTGGCATATAGTGATTGGAACAGGTCACCCCCAAGTGCTCACAGACTCACCTACACCCAGACATACCTGCACCCTGAAATTGGGGATGGGTATGTGTTGGGTATAAGACATGGGTTTGTGGATTCCATGGGTTGTGGGCTGAACCATACTTCAACATCCTCAACCACCTCTTCAATTCTGGTAGCATGGGATGTCCTTGTCCCTGAAAAGCCCACACAAACTCCATCCACTGAGGCACATCAGGAGTAGGACAGACTTCCACTATGCCAACACGGCACTAGGGATATCAATTTTGGTGAATAAAACATGGAGCTGATAATCTATAATTTTAACATGGAAGTATGTCACATCATCAACCTCTGCGCACAGAGGATTCTGGGTCACCAGCTACTACTATTTATGCTACCACCCGGAGATTCATGCCATGTCAAACTGGGATTTCAAGAAAAACCTCAATGAACTATGCCTCACTTCAATTGATGAGGCCCCTCATGGCATTTGGATGACTGTATTTCAGCACCACATACCCAAATTTCTTTGAGCAAGCCATTTTTCACTGAGAAAAATTATGGGAGCCGCTCACATAATATACCACATCCTCAGATTGAACGAGTGACCTGCAGATGTATTTATGTAATGTTTAAATGTTGAAATTCTGTCATACAATTGGAATGTACTACCACTTCACCAATGTAGTCATGTAGTTGACCAAATGATGTGCCAAAAAAGGAATGGGAACCTCAAAATGCCATGTACCCAGATTGAACGAGTGACCTTCTCATTGGATTTTTCTTGTCTAATACAAGTGAGACGCGCTACCACTACACCAACGCGGCATGACTTTGTAGACCCTGCCTTGCAGAATCTTTTGCCCTGCTACAGTTGGGGACAAACAAAAATGACAAATTTGCTTCTCAGTGATTGAGAATTTTTGGTGAAAAACTGAGTCCAGATTTGGATCCAGACAGGCAAGAACAGTCCAAAAACAGTGTCTTTTTTAAAAATCCAATGAGATTTCAGAGTGGCCAAATTTTTGGGCCAAAATTTTGAAATTGTGTGTACCTCTGAGGGCCTTTGGCAGTCATAAATTTAGTTCAAAACTGCCTTGATGGAAAGAATCACCTGTTGGGGTGCTACTTTTGCTGTGAATTTTAAACCTTAATGTTTTAACAGTATTCAAGCATTTATTTAGTTTATGGACCAGTGAGTTCCAAGTTCTATTTATAGAATGAGGTCTTAGTCTCTTAGCTGGTGCTGGGATTTTTCTGAATCCATTGTCTGCAAAAATTGATGTCATGGCATATTTGTACACCATTCATAATGAGGATGATATAAGTCAAGTTATTGAAGGGCGTCAACCAGGTATTCTGTGGTGAGACTCTAAGAACCAAGGCTAGGACAAATAGGACAAGATGAAGGTTCCAATATTCTCTGGGATTACATGTCTCTTGATTCAATTTCAATGAATGTGCAACAAAGACTCCAATTAAGCAAGTACAAGGGAATGTAGACTAATGTTATTTGAGGACTGCTACAGGCAGCAATGAGCATCGGGCTCACAAAGTCATTGAGGCTCCTGGGTGCAAATTGATTCTCTGCGCAACCCAAGTGGCAAGTTGCAAAGTGTGCCTTGTGAGAGCTCAAATGCACACCTCCCCTACAGCTAAGCCATCTCGCCTTGCCTCTCCTCTTCCACTTCTTCCCCTTCAGACTCTCCTGGAATTTGTAATCCAGCATGGACATCAGCGTAAATCAATGTAAACCTGCAAAATGGATTTGCTGCAGATTTGAAGTGGGTGTCGTGCAGCATTTTGATGGCAGTGCATGTGGGAGGTTGATATGATGTTATCTTGGTAGAACAAGTCAGGCTTATTCTTGCTGGCAAACCTCTGGTAGTGCCCACCCACCATGATGCCAGCTCCTGCTTAACCGCCAGCTTCATCTCCACCACATCACCAAAATTACTGCTACTGGAATGAGTTGTGCCTCTTCTGCCAACATAGTACACAACCACACCACCTCTTCATAAGATCAAAGTTGGATGGTCTTGATGCTCAGCTGTGCATTGAAGGAGCCAACAGATTTGTGTCTCTTCACTGGTAGGTGTGGCCAATACTCAATCTAATCTTTGACAATCCCCCTTGGCAGACTTGAAGATGGTGGCAATTAGTTTGCGAGAGAAGACATTTCTGTTATGGAATCGCCCCTAGGACAGCCTATTATTTTCTTTTTCACTTTATACAGTACTCAGTACTGTAGTATCCCTTCTATACTATTTTACTTTACTTTATATTACTATACATTACCTTTACTTTCTGTTACTATTACATTTACTTTACTTTTACTGTACATTTACTTTATCTGGGACAGATAAGATCAGGGGATAAGATATCCCTCTTATCTACATTAGATACTTA